TTCTCTTATCGGAGCTTCCCCCACCGTCTGGTCTTCCCAGAAGCCCTCTTTCTCTCACGAGCCCTTGCCGTTCTGTCCTTCACCACCTCATCGCTGACTCGGTCCTTTTCACTGGCCCTCTGGCATGGCCTCGCTCCTGGGTGCTGCCCCAACTGGTGGCATCAAGTCAGCTTCTGCCAGAAATCAAGTGGGCAGGACAGCTGATCCTCCAGCCCCAGTCAGGCAGCTGGGCGAGGGTCACGGGACAACAACCACAGCGTTGAGACGCGCTCTGCCTTGGCCTGGGCCCCCTCAGAACAAGTTGGCACCACAGACTCACCAAAAAGCAACCAAACACAATCCCATTTTGTAAACTGAATAAAGAAGGTGTTTGGGAGGGACAATATACTTTAGCATGAAAAGGTGACCAAAAGAATTAAACAAGAATTAATGCTGTTTTTGATTTTTCCAAAGTTTGCTTACTGGTGTCATCTAAATGACTACAATGTACAGCTATTAATTTTATAATCAGAAGTATAGGGGGTGAAACACTGTGCTAACCCCTCCTTTGATATTTTAGTACAGAAACCATAAATAATGCCTATATGTTTTAAGGGAAAAGGTATCTATTTTCTCAGTTATTTCAACAAATCTTTCTTAAATATTTGTAACACACTTGAAACTGTCTAAATTAAACCCTAGAGACAAAGAATGACTGAAGAGGAAACCTACCCTCAGCCAGCAGCAGGACAGAGGAGACAGCTCCGCAGAGCAGTGGTCGCGGCGGGGCAAGGAGGCGCAGAGGGCGTGCAGATGTGTCGCCCGAGGGAACAAGCAGGGGAGTCTGCACCGGCAGGGGGCCACACACCAAAACAACAAGGCACGGCCAGAGAACAGGGGGCACTGAGGGTGACAGTTCTGTCCCTGCCCGCGACTCAGCCTCAGATGAGCATCCCCGAAGAATGACAAATGACTCCAACACCAACACTTCTGTCTCTAGTAAATCTGATGAACAGTGTAAGCAACTCCTCATGCTGTTTGTAACACCCCTTGAACTGAAATTACATGTGTCAAAATAAAATGTCCTTCACCCACAGAAAGAAACCAGGTGTGTACGTATCACCTCTCCCGCCACCTCTCTAGAGAGAATCTAAGAACAACTTCTGAGAAAGAGAAGAAATCCACAAATGCAGACCAAGCGCCAAGTGCAAGCTCGCACAAACACATCGGGGCCTCCTGCGGGAAGCACTCCGACGGCCCTTGAAAATCAAAGCACGAGAGCACCCCAGCCGGGCAGCCAGCTCTCCCGCCCAGGCGCCCCAGGCCTCTCCCCCTCCTCCGTGTGGCCACAGCACAAAGGACTGTTTACCTAACTTGCTGCCAAATTCTTAAAATTTTTCAGTACCTCAACTGGAATGGAGCAGCTGAATTCACAATTTGCTTTTTCTTAAAGAGCACTATCAACTGCCACTCTAAATAAACCATTTTTTCTCCCTTGGACCAGGATAACATCTACTGAGCTACCACCACGCACTCAGGGACTGTGCCATGTGCCTCACACGTGCCACGACATTTGACCCTCACAGCCACCAAGGGAGGAGAAGCTTCACTCACTTTCCTGAGGAGGAGGCCAAGGTTCACCCGGGCCAGGTAACCTGATGCAAACACTTCACAGTTTCCCCAGGTTGGAAGACGGAGTGCTGCAGGCCTGATTAAATTCCCTCATAATTCCCCGTGGCACGTGCTTGTTCCAATTCCTGTTTCTGGTGTTTAATGATAAAGAATGGGTGACGACGACTACAGCAAGTAAATATTTTCTATTTTTTATATGTTCTGTTACTACTTGAATAGTTTTTCTAAATTATGTACTGGTTATGTACAAAACTGTTAACAAGGTTGCTCTTTTGGTTTCTGAAAATTCAATGCTTCAAAGTAGCTTTCTAAGAAATGAGCAAATGGAGAATATTTCCGTATTTTAAGTAATACAAAGAGAATCATTCCATCAAATACAATTCTTTAAGTAGATTACTATATAAATAACATTCGGGGAGGCACATGGAATTTTAGAAGCCATATTTGCCAATATCTAACACTCTTCATAAGCAGCATTAATTTGTTCCTTTTAAATCTCACCTAACAGATCCAGAAGATAAAATCTAACTGTTCAGAAGAAACTAAAATTCAGAAACTGATTAGCCTTCTAACAAAAGGTCTTTTAAAATTTCAAATTCCCCTAATGATTCCAACACAACGTTTTAAATATAAAATCTGGCCTACTTTGATTTACACAGAAACATCCAAAGATACATTTACAGCGCACAGCAAATCACAGCTCCACTGGGCCAGGATACACTGCCATTCACTTCAACCCACTCTACCAGGCTAGTGGTCACGTGGTTTACTGGTCTGTTAACAGGTCATCCACACAGGTTCTAGAGCGGGAATAGAGAAACTCAGCCACTCGCCAGTCCCGATTCCACAGCTGACTCTACTCACCACTCAGGGTACTTTCCGCACCCCTAAGTGGGACTGGCAAGCAAAATGAACCCTAACCATTACCTTTATTCTACAAGCCCACAGTCAGAATTTTCTGAATCAATTCTGATTGCTATACACTCACTGGAAACAGTAGAATATTATCTCTAATCCAGAATTAAGTAGCAGAAAAGGGAAGCAGCAAAAATTACTACGACAAATAATGGTAGAAAGCATAGGACACAGAAGCTCACTACCAATTAGTTGCTGTGTGGTCCTGGGCTACAAATATAACTTCTCTGAGCCTCAAATTTATGTACCCATAAAATGGAAATAACTCATAAGGATGACGTGAATACACACTAAACTTGATAAATAGCAGCTACTACTTACTAAGTGGCATAAAATCAGGGAATGTATTTCTAGAAGGGGCCTTAGGAGAGGGGCCAAAAAGAAAACAGACATTTATCAGGTACCTGCCATGTGTCAGACAGTTGGTTTCATTTACTTACTCCTTACAACCTTACTCACCCACTTCTTAGACTGGAGACTGGGGTTCAAAGGAATGAAATGACTGTTAAGGGTCCCACAGACAAGACGTAACAGACAAGAACCCCACAAAAAACAAACAACAATAATAACAAAAAACAAAAAACGCCGGCCATGAGGGAAATACTGTTTCTTCCAGACACTGATCTTCTGATAAGTCAAGCAATGCCAACATGCTACTGGAGGAGTTGCTGAACTAAATTCTAAGATACAGAACATTTTGATTAGTTAACTTAAGAATTAAAAAGAGAGCTAAACTATTCCAGCATTTGGCAGAGAACTATTTTCATGTAAAATTCCTGTCGCTTTCTTGTCTGTTGTAAAACTATACAGCATGATTTTGGAATATGGTCTGACATAAAAAATATTTTTTTCCCTCCAGAAAAAAAGATTTTACTAATTTACTTAAAAAAATTGTTACCAATTAAAGTAGATAAAGTCTTTTAAAGGAAAGGTGTTTAGTAGTTTGAAGGCTGTTCGTGGACAGCAGAGCTCGGCCCGCACCTCCCAGCCCACCAGGGCCCAGAGCGCGTGGCCCCCACCTTCCAGCAGCCACGTCAGCACATGGCACCATGCGGCCCCCCGGGGCAAGGCATACTCCCAGCCGTGGCCCCGGGGCCCGTCCTTTCACATTTACAGCTCAACTAGGAGAAATGAGACACTGACAAGACACGGCTAAAACAAGGTCAAAAGCAAAAGACCACAAAGACACGTGGAAACTGATGAATGCTTAGGTTTTTGGGTAAAGACAACAAATTCATGTAAAACAACGTGCTATAATACAGACCGCCTGCTCATCAGCGTTCTGAATCGCAAGGAATGGAGGGGAGGAAAAACAGACTGGGTCTACCAAAAGTCTCCTCCTGGCACATGCTTCCCATCTTTAGTCTACAAACCTAGAAACTAAAACTCAATTAAACAACCAACGATGAACTGCCCTTAATCCAGCACAGCAAACAACTCGATGCTCCTTCCAGCTCCTACATGCTACTGCTTTCCCTGGATGCACTGACAATTAGAGGTCCTTTCCTTTTACTTATTGCAAATACTCTGTGGTTTAAAAGTAATCGTCAGTAGCTGATTTGCTCCAGAGTCTGTGCCTTACGGTTCTCCCCGTCCTTCCCCAGTTTATAGTGAAAAGTGCCCACTGCAGGGAGCGCCGTCAGAGAGCACAGCAGCTGCTCAGGCCACAGCGCGTTTGTTGCAGAGTCACTGTGATAAAGGCAAGAGACGAGCATCGTCTTCTGTAGTAAGTGAAGGCCATGTGGCAGGAAAAGGAAGCAAGTATTCTACAGATTGCTGATGGGAGAGTCTTCTGCAAAGGGACTCCATCTGCAGCAACTTCAAGGACTGAACTTATCCAAACTGCAGTGGAAAACTGCAATTCCTGTACTTTACTGGAAATGGTCTAGAATGAGCACTGTTTAAAAGTCAAGAAAGAAATGACACGTGCTCCACTCTGGAAAGTACGTGTAAGATCACACATGATTTCACTTTAGAATTCTGTTAATCCCTTTTTCCCTCAAATGGGGGAAATCAGATTGAAAGGGAAGACAGGACAGTCTTTGCCACAATACTGCTTAAAAGCAGACACACAACACACACACCGCCCCCCACCCTGCCACAGCTGCTCACTGAATCTAAAGCTACACGTAATTATTTGTTTTCGTCATAAAGGAAATTTTACTTTTAAAACAAACTCGATGATTCTATCATAAATTATCTATAAAAAGAAGCTAAAACTGAGAAACGTCTAATTTAGGAACTGTCACACTGGTCTTTCATTAAGACCCCAAAGAGACACTGAAACATGGGTCCCAGTTGAAAGAAGAACCTGAATGACAATTGTTACATCTGCTTCAAGTAGGCAGAGGCTGCTGTACGTGACTGTGAAAGAGGTGATTTCACATGCCTTCCTTCGAAAACCTTCTCTAGGAATTAGGACACTCTAAGCGAAGCACAGATTCCAAGAGGTACTGGTAACCTCGTCAACTTACCCCGCCTGACAACTTAATCACCCTGACCTTGGAGCTGACGTGCGGCCCATCTCCGCCACCGCTGTTGGCCCGGTGCATGACAGTCCTTTTCGCGCCAGGCTTGACCTCCGGGGGCCGGCCCTGGAGGGACGCCACTCGAGCAGTCTGCGAAGGGGGTGGCAGCCCCTCGCCATCTGCAGGTTTTACCTGCAGGACTTTGTGCTGAGCTGGACTCTGAGGTATGGGTCTGGCCGGTCTCAAATGTTTCAGTGGTTTCATCTGTTGTCCTTGATACTGCACGTTAGCACCAGATGGCACAAAATTTGATGTTTTGGGCGGAACGTTTGAAACAGTGACATCTTGGTTTTTCATGAGAAGTCTGTTTTTCACATTCTGTCTGACCTGTGCCCCCGGGAAGGGGAGCAGCGGGGTACCATTGGTGGGTGATGGCGAAGCTGTCGGCTCCTCCGGCTCGGCCGGGGCCGAGGGTGGGCAGAGCTGCTGCTGTTGCGCCAGCCGCTCGAGCAGCTCCTTCTTCCGCGCGCCCGCCTGCTGCTGCCGCCGCAGCTCCTTCTGCTTCAGGATCTCCTCCCGGAGGCGCTTCTGTTCCTCTATCTTTAAGCGGTATAACCTTGTCTCTTCATCTTCATCAGGAAACTGAAACAGAAGACACATGGTTTACTCGGAGTACAAGGCTGGGTGACCATTCCAGTCTATTTCAAAATCATGAAAATGCACTTTCTAAAAAACCCTTTAATTTGGGATTTGAAAGAAGCCATTCAAAATCTGCTTATCGACTTTAAGTGCAACTCCTTCCTCTGGGGAGTGAAGAAAAAATTACACAGCTAAAGCTAATTTGGAAAATCTTATCAGAATATTAAAAATGAAATAATGTAAATTTCCACTCATTTACAAGTTTGAAACCAATTAAACTATTCATTTAAGATATCAAAATATGTTTGAAATAGTAACTGCAACAGTCAGGAGGCCTCGCTGTCACACACGTTTTATCTGGCTCTTTTCTGACGAACCAACAAAAGGTGGGGTATAAACGACCTGAAAGGGCCTGATTAGAACTATTGATTTTTCGTACAGAATTTTCAGCCTGATCTCAAACTCATTTGTCACAGAGTAATTGCTTATAATGAACAGCACAAGTCAATCTCTGTGACCTTGAACTCATGCACTCTCAGAATCAAAATGCTGCCAACTGCAGTACTGGAATATTAATGGTATATAAGGAGTGCCTTTAACATGCCAGCCCCACAGCATTCTGAAAGTCTACCAGAAAATCTTTGAAAAAGTCTGTAACTCAAAAAAAAGCATCCAAAGAGGAAAGTTTATTGAAAGTTGACCGTTTGTTAAAACTTGTAATAATTTTCTTAAAAAAAATTGTAGCTATCCTCATTCACAGACCCTTTACACCCTTTACGTAAGAATATACTAGGATTTACTCTCCCCGGAATTCAGCTGCTCACAAAGACACCTTACGAGGTGAGAGTCGAAACAAAAACGCAGGAGGAGCTGGCTGGGGCCCCCAGAGCCCAGGCACCTTGATCTACGAGGCACGGGGCCAACCCTCACTGGGGCTTCCCTTGTCACTTTAGAAGCAATTCTGACCAACTCAGTCACCTAATTTCAAAGTCGAGGACAGATCTGAAACAGCAATTTTGAAGGTAGATGAGGGCTACACAGGTAGGTTACAGAGCTAGAAGTGATATTAAGGAGAAGACAGAAAAAAGAAGTTCAAAAAGCACAGGGGCCAGGGTATTCCGGGGAAATTGGTCGACAGTTTAAAACACAGGAATAATTAATATTCACTAGGATTCTCCCCCAAGAAATCAAAAAAGAGTTAAAATATGTTCCAAGAATATAGGTAGACATACTTCTAAACAGATTTATCCTTTACTACGTCATTATCAGTTGGCTGAGTACAAGAAGATAAACCACATGTAAACGAATACATGTCTGTACATGTATGACTGAAACATGATGCTGAAACTGACACAACATTGTAAACTGACTGTACTTCAGTAGAAAAGAACGCACATTTTTTAAAAAGAAGATAAACCACATTTACCTAAACAAAACAAATAGAAGACTTCAAAAATAAAAAAATCTTTATTCCTGGTCCCCTTCTCTGTAGAGAGAAAATTAAAAGCAAACAAATTCAGACACTCCACGCACACTAGGGCCACCTGCAAGTGCCACGTCATGCACAAAGCATCTGACTCCACCAAAGACTTTCCCAGGGGCCTGCTAAAATCAACCGCTGGGGAAGGGACAGTCAGATGTGACCAGCGGTGCACCTACAACGCCTCCTTTCTCGTTTTACTTAGCCAGCTGTACGGAAGTGTATGTGACTTCATCTTCCTGAGCCACAGCTGTCCCTACATGTGAGTGAGGAGCTAGCTACATAAACTAAAAGCAGGACCAAATATTTACCAAATACTTCTTTATATAAACTACCCCAAACCAGTTTCTAAATCTACATTTCTATATATTGATTTTAAAACTGAAATGTCACCCTTCTTCTAATCAATGTTATTAAATGTTAACTCAATACTTTCACGTTATGTTTACATTTCTGATTTGGTAACATTATTACAGCCACTACAGTAATTTACTAGAAGAAAATCTGACCACTACCAATCCCAGTTTAACTGACTGGAAGGTAAACCCAGCCTTAAGTGGTGGTTGTGGTGATTATGAAAACACAACGTGCTTACCGTCTTATCTAAGGACACTCTTTGTGCCATTCTTTTCACATAGTAAGTTAATACATGATATTTATTACCTTCTTTACAAATTTTGCCAATATTAGTGTAACTTGCACATACTGATCTCTGCCACATCGCAGACTCGCACACCCAATAATTAAGGAAACCGGCACTTGTGAGCACTGCGGCTGCTTGCTCAGGGCCACACTGCTAGCGGTGGGGGGCTACTGCCAAGGGTGCCTCCAACCGACGCCGCACTGGACGCCTGCACTTTGTTAGAACCTACGTTATCCAGATACCGTCCAACTTTTACATCTGTATTTCTAGGGAGCAGCCAGGAACTACATCTCCACCTCAGGGAAACATCAAACAAGCACGCTCACTTCTCTTACAGGAGACCAGTAGCTTCAAGGGGTATGTCCCAGATGTAAATTTTACTAGCATAAAGCAGTTTAAACGTTCATGACCAGTACTGCACTAATACTGAGCCACTTTTAAGCAAAACAGAACACAGAAGCCAAAGCTAAGTCAACAGGAAAGCATGTAGAATACTGACTTACATTTATTATTTGTTCTTACAATACTATGCCTATTTAGAAGTCAGCAATACGTACAATTCAAAACAAACGCCCCAAAAATCTTATTTAAAGGCCGAAAGTAAAAGGGGTCCTACCTCCTTGTAGTTCCTGGTACAGAAGAAGAAAGAGTCACAGAAACCTAACGGTCTACAGCAGGGGTCAGCTGACTACAGCCCACGCACCAAGTCTGGCCCACACCTGGCTCAGGCATAAAGTCTTGCCAGGGCACAGCCACGCCCGCTGACCTAAGAACCGTCTATACCTGCGTTCATGCTGGCACAGCAGAGGTGAGCGATCTGGACTGCAAAACCTAAAATATTTATTACCTGGGCCCTTCAGAGAAATCGTTTACTAAGGCCCCTGACATACACAGATTCTGGAACACTGTGGAACACTGTGACCGCATAAATGCGCACATACAACCTGACACTGGACCAGGGAGGATGAAAGTGCGTCCTGTGTGAGCACGCTGCTGGGTTAAAGGAGGACCCAGTTAAAAAAAAAGTGGAAGATTTTGTGAAGAACTCGCTGTCTGAGAGTGAACTAAGAGGTACAGGATGATTATAAGGCCTCCTGTGTGAGACCAAATATTATCTTTTAACTCAAAAAGTCCCACCTCGGGTTCTGTCTTTGCTTCTTCTTTAGGCTGAACCACAGGGCTGGCTGGCTTGGCCGCCACCGCAGCCTTCCCCTGCGTGCTCCTGGGCCCCGCCCCGGGCCTCGTGGGTGCTGATGTGCCGACGGTGGGTTTCACTTGGGCCGCGGGTGTGGAGGAGCAGCGACTGTTACTCATCTCTATAACGTGTGACGGTGCTATTGGTAATTCACGCAAGTTACTATTTCTTGGAGCAGTTGGCTGCATCTGCTGCATTGGTCGTTTGGTTACATTCTGAGAAGCTGAATTCTACAAGAAGAAAGAAATTCTTATTACAACTAGAAACTTGGGAGAAGAAACAAAAAGGTACATTAGGTAAAAATGCTTAAAAAAATCACTCTAACGGAGTAAGTGACTCCTCCTTTGGGGGACAGGTATCTTCCCACTAGCAAGTATTTTTTCCACGCACGAATGTTCCTGCTCTGTGCGGCAGCACACCTTGCTAGCAGGGACTGGGACTGATAAACGTGCCACCCCTGCCTACAGACAGGCTCCTCTTCACGGGTGTTACACCAGGTGACGGCAGTTGATGCCTCAGAGGACGGGGACTGACGTTTTTAATACAATCGAAAGAGCCACAAGGACTCCCACACAAGGAGTCAGCAGGGCTAATGGTGCCACCACGGTCAATGGGTCCCTTAAATTCAAAGCAGAACAGAAGAGAACAAAGCATTAAGTTAGTGTCCTAAGGAAAACCACTCCCTGGAGGAGAAAGACACCCGCAGGTTTTACTGGGGAGGAAATTCCCAGTCACGTTCATCCTCAGGATTCCTCGCATAGACCTGACACCTAGAGGAGCTTACAGACATCTGAGGTGGCTGGGGGAGGGCCGCAGCCAGAATGGCTCAGCTCGAGGCTAGGGACGCCGTCTGACATTGTTCTTACCAGATAAAACCCAGGTAACAGAGCACCCTCTTCCCAGATCTAGAAATTCTTTCTTATTTCTTGTATCATTTTAGTCTCAGCCTTACTTTAGAAACAAAGAGGCAGGTGTGAAGAAAACTGAGATTAAAAGTAGCTAAGTGACATGCTCAAAACTCAAGGTCAAAAGGAACAGGACTAAAGGGAAAACCCTGCCTCACCCTACAGCCTGGAACCATCAGCCTCTTTACAGGTAGTTATTTAATGGTGGACAAGGCAGTAACAATGACCACGGCCTTACTTTTAAAGCAATACCCAGTGTCCTTCAACGCCTACGCCTGACAGCCCACACGTGCTGATGGTACTTGAGAGTACAACCTCACGAGTAAACATGGTCATCTCTCACAGTTACACATAAGCTCCCGGAAGGCAGGAAATGTGTCTCTTTCGTTCACTGCTGTATTCCCAGGAACTAGAGCAGTGCCTGACAACGAAGGGTATTCAGTAAATTCTTCCTGAATTCACTTACTTATTCACGCACTGCCCAAGGAGACAATCTACGTACCAAATAAGCAGCCACTGGCAAAGGCAGAATGACTATCACCCGAGAATATTTTCTAAAGTTATGTGTCAATGAATAGGATCACCTATCACTACAGGAGCATCTAGACACGGGAAAGGCATCCCTGGAAGACAGCCGGGGGCGGCAGACACTCACATGCCTCAGCCCCTGGCGCTGGGGGCACTGCACGCGACTGGCGCTCGGCTGAGGCTGAGCCGTCGGCATGTGAGGCCTGAACTGCGGCTGGGCCATGGGCAGCAGGGGCGGAGGCGGGACAGAGAGGTGGTGGTGGTGCTGGTGCTGCTGCGGCTGGTGCTGCGGCTGGGGCGGGGGCTGGTGCTGCGGGGGCGGCTGGAGCGGGGGCTGGTGCTGCGGCTGGAGTGGCGGCTGGGGCTGCGGCTGCGGCTGGGGCTGGTGTGGAGGAGGCAGCGGCGGGTGCAGGGGCCCCTTCCATGCCAAAAAAAAGAGAGAAACAAAGGTTTACGAGGTATATACTGTTTATGTTCCAATTCAGTCTTTTCTTAAAAAAAAATCAAACCCAATACCAGAAAAAAACTTCAAGAGGTACTAAAATTCCAGTTTAGTTTTACTGATGAAGGTAGTATTACCTTAAATGCAATAATAAGCCCAAAGCAACCATCCCACATTTTAAATCCTGTAAATCCTGAAATCCAGGAATTTATCCTAAGGAAGTAACTCAGGATGCAGGCAAACACAACCTCAAGGATATTTCTTACAGCATTATTTCCAATACCACAGTACTGAAACCAGTAAATGTGTGCGAAACACAGTGGCAGCCATAAAATGTCAACTTGTGCAGTATTTTTAAATGATACAGTGGAAGCTGATGCACTGGCATGAGATCATACAACACATTAACTGGGAAGAAAAGCACAGTGGTGACGATGTGCGTTACTAAAAAGACTGAACAGCGCGCGCACCCAGATGTTAACAGTGACAGTGTCTAGCGGACGGCATGACCTAACTCCCTTTAAAATACTGATCTACACTTACTCCTGCGACGGAGACGCAGCAGTTACATTTTTTTTTTTTAGTAAAAAGAAAAACAAAAACTTTTTACCCTACTTTAACATCTTAAATAATAATCATTTTCCTTTTTTTACTTTAGACGCATGTTCTTTGTGGTTCAAGCGTATCATCATTGTACACCTCAGGAGCAAACGTAAGTGCCAGCAACATGCCGGGTAAGAAAGATACCGCAGACTCCAGGCAGTGGATGTACACAGCCCGTCAGCAGAGGGCGCTCCAACCTCTCAGATAATGAGGGAGCGGCAACACTTCCTTTCCCACCACTATATGCTCTGAAACATCATCTTACTTCCCGGCAGCCCTTTTAAGAATCTTGCAGTGATGAGCAAAGGTGGTATCAAAACATGCCTTAATTTTATTAGCAGTATACAGTATATCCTTTACAAAATCTTAATACTGGGGAAATGCTTTATTTCCCCCAAAATGACACTTTTTCCATTTCTCCTATGATTAAGGAGATTGACGATACTGTCAAGAAAGTTTGTAATAAGGAACACATTTGTGTTTACTCCTCTTGTTCTTACTTACTCTCTACGTCTCAGCAGACTAGAATAGCAAAGGGAAACTTCTTGACTTCAGTTATGAGACACCAAGACCCACAGCCACAGGCACCCCCTCCATGCAGCTCGGGACCCATACCTGAAGATTAGGCTGTGTGTGGGCAGGCAGGAAGGGCTGTCCAGGGCCGGGCAGGAAGGGCTGTCGAGGCGGAAGGAATGGCCGTGCGGCGGCGGGCCCCGGCTGGCTGAAGTGGAGAATCCCCACCGGACCTGGTGGCGGGGGGGCTGGCCTCACGGGCCTCTCTCTGGGGAACACGGGCTGCTGCCCCTGCTGATTAAACGCTGGTCCGGGCTGGGTGAACGGTAAGGGACTGGGCGTGGGCACCGGGTGACCACTGCTAAGAAGCGTGGGAGGTGGTGGTGGTGGCGGGGGACTTCGTTGCTCCAGGAAGAGATGACTTGGGAACCTCGGTTCACCTGAAACTGAGCAGTGGGGCAACATCGTTACCCTCTGGATGCACAGAACACGCACTTCACAGAAGTCACTTTTACGTACTGTTCTACTATGGACAAAAATCACACACAAGTGGTGGCTGGATATCTAAAAGGAATTCTAGATTTTGCCTCTTATTTCTAGATTGCTTCATTAGTCATTCTCTATAGACAATTTCCTCCTCTGTACGAGGCTGTCACATTTCAGATACCAATAATGTCCAATTTCAGCATTTGAAATGACAGGCAGAAGGGCCACGGCACAGAAATCTGACACTATTAAAGAGGTCTCCTACTGGGAGCTAAACACTGTTTAAAACATAGACGCGTTCAGGCCCAGCACAAGGCCCAGTACAGCTTCCTTCCGTTACCCTGTGCCCTCTTTACCTCCTAAGAAGAAGGGGTCTCGCTCCTGGGGAGGGGGTGGGGCCCTCCACTGGTCCTGAAGAGGAAGCCGCGGGGGCTGGCTGAAATTGTTGGGAACAGGTCCAGGTGTGTGCTGTGGAAACTCTGGAGGGCCCTAAAGGACAACAGGAAAAGAGGGTGAAAGGCAGGCAAAGAAACTGCAATTTTCAGAAAGGTGTATATGTTTCTAAGTTTTCCTCTGAAAACATCCAAGTAGCTCATCTCCTGTATGCACATAACCTCATGTCACCAAACAGGTGATTCTGACACAGCGAAACCGTCAAGCACAAAAATGCAGCATCTAGAACATAATTCAGAGTTTCAGCAGCAGTCCGGTACTAGGAGAACACTGCTGTTGAGCTCACTGAAGTCACGCAGTTACTGACCTCTCGCCCATTCGTCTGACAGACTAAATGTTTGCTTTTGATGCTCCTGACATTTATCTTCTCAAACGTGCTGTTCTTTGCTACTTTTTTAACACAACTATAATCCACAGCTATGAAGCTGCTCTACTTCAAAACAAGAAAAAGAAATTGAATGTGGTCTTTAACAAAAATCGGCCATCTCTGACGAACCAGGAAAATGAAATGTTTAAGAAATCACATTACTATAAAACATTAACAGATTTCCTGGATAAAAAAACTTTGAACTTTTACAGATTACCATTTTTTAAATAACTTCATGCTACTAGAACTCTACAAACTGAAATTACTTCATTTTTTAGCCAATACTTTATAACTTTAAATGGAGTATAATCTGTAAAAATTCTGAATCACTGTGCTGTACAACTGAAATATAATACTGAAAACCAACTATACCTCAATTTTTAAAAAATTACTTCATTTTCTAATTGGCCTTTCGAGTGTTTACAGAGATTTTTTAAACACCACATTTGCTTAAGAAAGCCTCATACTTTTTGGTGAGAAATTTAAAGAAAGCCTCACAAGTTTTTTCTACTTCCTTTTCCAGAAAGAAGTCATTAGTTACACATGCTGTATCATCAAAATAATTTTCATTTAATAACACCTCGATCTTTGCAGTATTTCTCACTTTTCAAAAATCCTATTTCTTTCTTATCAATCTAAAATTCTAATGACTTCTGTCATTTTTATTACTAATACAATTAGCTGTTCTCTCTAAACGTGACATTGTATTATGATATTGAAAATGCTTTTTTGCAAACTACATTTCCCTTCCTTCTTTCCTTAAAGGTCTGCTCTATCCACAACATTGTAAGAATAATGCAAAATAAACACTAGAATAAACACTACAAACCCAGACGACTATTGGCTACATGCCATTAACAAAATTACGTTTAAACACAAATACCGCATCTTTACAAAAACACACTGTCCTAAAACACGTGGAACAGAAAGTCCCAAAGCCATGACTCCTGCAGTCTTTGTCTATTAGTTCAGCTGAAATCAAGAACATTCCCGCGGCGTCAGCGTCTGGCATCTGACATTAGGGAGCGCTACTTCTCACTCTAGATAAAGGCATCAGCTGAAGTGATGAACACCAGGAACTGAGACACATGAGGTGTATACTGAGAATACATGCTGTACACGCTCATACTGAATCGTGAAGGTTTTCTTATCCCCAGTAAGTGTACACAGTTTCTCATAATGGTAATTTGAGACTTCACTGGTACGACGCTTTGAAACAGACATTCTTCAACATTCACTATTTTCACCCAGTAACATGCCAGGGAGAAAACCAGCTGGAGGCATCAGCTGCAGACGGTGCTGCCGATCAGACCGCACGAGGAGGCTCGGTGGGCCCGCCCCTTTTCCCACCGCACAGGCCTTCCTCTTGTTCTAAAACTACTCTTATTTTTGTGTGACGCCAATGAAACACATGGTATGCATCTGCATGGATGTTTTGCCAGGTAACTTTACAAGAAGATTTATTAATAATGTATTTCTTTCTAGAATACAGCGTTAGTATTCTGTCTATAGTCCTACAGACCTTTTTTCTTACATATACATGTATTTCAAAAAGTGTTCTCAAATAATCTTTACAACTTTCTGGATGATAATAAGCTAAAAATCAAAGTCCTGTCATTATTTATTTTTTTAAAGTTTAAACCATTTTTCTTGGAGTGGCCCAGAAAATAAAATTTAAAATTGTCTGCCGTCTGGTTTGTAGCAAGGTGTGACTGGCCATGCTGCCTCTCATCCATGCAACTTGACTACACAAATTAGCAACACTCACCTAAGTAAAACCTGTTTCAAATGTACAACTTTGTTCCTTAAAGTATTCTGATGCACACTTGACTGTCACTCTTCTGGAGGAGAGGACACCAAGGAAGAGTTTCAAACAGATAAACACAGAAGGGACCGGTTAGGCTCATTAACAGTACCACTACCTAAAATATGCTGGTGTAAAAGGTAAAAGAAATACTGAAATTTAAAAATCTTTTGGAAGTGAAATATATGTATTTTCCATGCGGTTTTAGCTTACCAACAGTAGACCTCAGCCACAGAAAGGCACCACAAGAAGCCCCACGAAAGCCCCTCGGGCAGGGAAGCGGCCCATCGCAGGAGGGCTGCCACGCCAGGGAGGGGCCGCAGGTCTGTCTATGTCGTGAACCTGGACCAGCGCTGGCGCCACCTGCCACCTGCACGGGGGAGCGTCAGGACAGTCCAGGGCAGGGAGACCTGAGGAGTGGCTCGGTGAAACGCAGGGTCTAGGACTCGGTGTGTGCTTCCGTGGTGTAGTCGCCCGGACTCAGTGTCAGGCTGCTCGGACAGCCCAGTGGGAGCCAGGCTGGAGACCTGAGAATCGAGTCAGAGCCAGGGCTAGGGTCTGGCAGGCCTATTCTGAAGCAACAAGGGTGGGTGATAACTATTTCTATTTAACAAGGATTCTCAGCCTGTGTGTGTATGTGAGCCAATACCCCGGACACACTTCTACCATACGGTGACTAACAACTGCAGTGATTTGCACAGGATTTAAATAAACAACCCTAGTGAGGCCAACACGAGCATGCACTTAAGAGTAAGGGCGGGTGAGGACCTGGGCACAACCGCAGCGGCCTTCACCCGCGGCTCACACCCCGCACGGCAGGCCCTGGGCGAAGCGTAGGACCACCTGAGCTCGTGCGCACATAGCACAGTGGTGACGGGGCTCTAGGTCCCATTTCACAACTGGGGACATTAAATAATTTGTCCAAAGTGACACCATTTTATTTCAAAGTCACAGATTTCAGTATTCAAGAAAAGCAAGTTAAAATGCAGCAGGAAAAGTTTCAATCCATATGATATAAATCTAATCAAAATCACTACATTTGCGTGTTCTAAAAACCAATCTTTTCCCCTTGACTTAGATATGAGAAGGATCATCTACAACCAACACAGAACTGGGAACCCTGGAGACCACCGCATCATGTACAAACTGCCGGGTTCCACTGACTTCTTTGGAACAAGTTCACTTTGTGCTTTTGTTTCTGCCAAAACGCGTACAGAAACTTCCATTTTCTCCTGTTCCTCCCCCACTCTCTCACCAACCGCCTGTGTTGCTGCCTCACCGTTTCAGGAGACCATGGCCACAGGCAGCCCTCAGCACCCCACCTCCCTAGAGACTGCTGAGCGCTGTGGGTGAACCCCCTTACACAGAACCGGAATCACTGCAAGGCTCTGTTCACTTTCACCTGGTCCTCCACGTCTCTCGCGGGTTCTCCCCTCTTCCCAGTCAGCTCCTCCTCCTGCCCAGGGTGTGCTCCCACCTCTGAGCGGCTTCCAGCCCCTCAGCCCTCACCAGCTGCCCCCTCTAACCCTTCTATCAGGAAAGGTGCCCCTCACCCTCCCTGGGTGCCCCCCCTCGGCACTCCCAGCGTCTGGCTTCCTTTTTGTCCCCTCCACTTTCATTCTCCTCTGGCTACAGAGAATTTTCTAGTGACTCATGTGCTCGATGCTAATTTTTAGCAGCAGTCTATTCGTTAAAAAACGTTTGTCTCACTCTATTACTGTATTTGGTCAGATTTTTCACTAAAAAAATTGGAGCAGTGTGTTGAGATATAACAGCAGTGGAAAGTTTCACACTGCTGCCTTGCTGACCAGCTGTCAATCTGCACCATAGCCAGGAGACTCCAGGACTCATGCCCCACCAGCCGTATCAGTCACCACTACAGTCATGAGTTGACAGAGAAGTACAGACAGGGAGACGGTGTCAGAAGAAGGACGGAGGGGAGAAAGGGAAGTCCACTGGGGCTATGTCCACTTAGCCCTTAAGTACTGGGTTGTACGAACAGCCAGGAAGCAGCAGCACTCACTATGGGAACTTTTCACCAACTTACAACCACCTCACTAATTCCAGCAGAGGGTAGAGCAGAGCGGAGCCCGTGTCGCTGAGAACACCGTCGCCCCCCCACCACGCTCCCTCCGCCCAGCCCAGCCCAGCCCAGCCCCACTTCGGAGGGTCACTGTGGGACGCGCGTGGTCCGCAGCGTCGCAGCCACAGGCAGGACTCAGGCCCGCGGGCAGGAGCGCCGCTCCAGAGCCGCTTCCTCCGCCAGCGGCAGGGGAGTCAGAGAGTGACGGAGTCTCCTCATCCTGCGTCCCTGATTTCTGCTCACAGTCAGAAGCTGGGAAGAGGTTCCTGACTTTTCTGACCTGACTTCCAAACAGGGCTTTCTTCATTATTTAACATGTGAAGCCCCGATGTTTACTGCTGCTTTTCTTGCCAGGCTCACATCATGCTGGGCTTACAGAGAATTGGAAAATGCATGGTTCCTTCTGCAAGCTGTGGTTATGTATGAATTCCATGATCGCATTTTAGTGCCTCAAGTCTCATCCCCCACTGATGAAGTTCTGAACGGCACCGCCACGTGGCTGCGGCGGCAACAGGCCCTTTATAACCTTCTTTCCTCCTTCCATTAGACAGTTAATTTCAAGCCCGCATAAAGACAGCTTTTCTCATTACAGATAAGGCAAAATGTAAGTGGAAAAGTAGACTGTAAGCAGAAGGTTTGTTAAATGTTGACTTTTACTTAGCCACAGGTTGAGACCAGGGAAAGTGTTCTCTCCTTAACACCCCCCTTCATCCTTTTCTAAAAGGAAGCAGTTACTGAATTATGAGAATGAACTCAAGAGACTGATGTGGTTAGTTTAGAAT